CTTCCCTCCAAAATGACCAGCCTCTAGACGATCATAATAGTGGAATAAAACTTGAGTAATTAACATATCCACCTGTGGTAAATATACACAGTTATTATAGTAAAGAATCCCATCCATTAATGAGAAAAGTGCTTCCATCTAAGCTTGCAAAGAGACCACTTTAGCATCTTGAGCCTGAGCACACTCAACCAATTGCTCAAACTCACTAACCATTTTACTTACATGATGACAAAATTGTGTTTATAATGCTGTCACATGATGAACACAAGATAAAGCATTTGCCACCACATTTGATTTTCCCAAAAGATGCTTAATAGAAAACTCCCTAAAATCCATGAGCTTGACCATCCAACAAGCTTGCCTAGTGTTCAACTCCTTCTATGTAAAAAGATATATAATAAATTTGTGATCTATCAACACCACAAACATTACACTATAAAGATAGTGCTGTCATGTCTGCAAAGCATGAACAATAGAGATTAACTCTTGCTTATATATAGAATAGTGTTGCTTTATAGGATTTAAAATTTGACTTTTATATACAATATGCTGTCCCTCTTATATAAGAACTCCTCCCAATGCAAAACCACTTGCATCATATATCATCTCATAAGGTTTTGATGGATCAGCAATGCAAAGCACTAGAGCCTCGTTCAATAACCATTTCAATGCCACAAAACTCTCCTTATATAACTTCTTCCACTCAAATGGTATGTTTTTGTGTAACAACTATGTCAAAGGAATCAAACTTGTGTTGGAAACATTGGTAGTAACTAACCATACCAAGGAAGTTCTATAACTTGGCCACTGAAGTCGATGTAAGCCAATTCTCCACCACAACCACCTTATTTGGATCTATCTTGACACCTTTAGATGTCACAATATAACATAAATATTCCACTCTTCTATATTCTTGTTGAAAACAAAAATATTGTCCAAGAAAATCTCCACAAACTCATGAAGATAACGCCTAAATACCTTTAACATCAACCGAGTAAATATGGCTAGTGCATTTGTTAAACCAAACGGCATAACTGTAAACTTAAAATGGCTAAAACTTGTGTTGAATGCCATGTTAGAGATAGATGCATCATCCATTACAATCTGATGATATCCACTCCTTATATCAATCTTGGTAAACACTCATGTTTCATCAAGTTTATCTAAGATATCATTCATATGTGATATTGGCATTTTATCCTTCATTGTCTTCTTATTCGAGGCATAATAATCAATACATATTTGGATTGAACCATCCTTCTTCTTCACAAGCAAAACCAGAGCACCAAATAGAAACTTACTTGGTTGAATAAATCCAAACTCAAATAACTCTTTGATTTGTCATTGAACTTCTTGCTCCTCCGCATAATTTAACAAAAATGGATGCTAGTAAATTGGCCATGTCCCTAGCTCCATATAATCCCATGCTCCACACTGCAAAATGGAGGCAACCTATGAGGAAGTTTAGATGAAAAAACATCGGCAAATTCGTTAAGTATATCCTATATTGTTGCTTCTCCCCCACATATATCTTGGTCCCCCAAGTCATGGACAAACAACAAATAACTTGAAAGTGCATTTCTATTATGACAAAACCCACTTCAAAGATGTAGTGAAGAGCATAATGTGAGACATAAATCCCTAAGCCCCAAAGTGGAGCCAAAAGGGTGCCACGTGGCAGTGGCCAAAGCGAAATCCAAACAAGCGTAACACGTTTTGACTAAAAGCTTTGACTTGAAAGGTTGAGAGCAGGAGTGGAACTCCCAACGGAGTGCTCAAGATACGAGCATAAAGCGAGCCATAAGAGAGTCTCTAGAAAAGGGACATGAGATGGACCCGAGATGGAGTCCGAGATGAGGTCTGAGATGGACCCGAGATGGAGTCCGAGATGGAGTCCAAGATAGACCCGAGATGGAGTCCGAGATGAACCCAAGATGGAGTCCGAGATGGACCTGAGATGGAGTCCGAGATGGACCAAGATGGACCCAAGATGGAGTCCGAGAAGGACCTGAGACCGAGTCCGAAGTCGAGACCGAGATTGAGACCAAGACTGAGACCGAGACCGAGACCGGGACCCAGACCGAGACCGAGGCCGAGGCTGAGACTGAGGCCGAGTCTGAGTCCGAATCTGAGTCCAAGTCTGAGTTCAAGTCTAAGTTCGAGTTTGAGAGGTGAAAGCACAAAGCGTTCGTCTCCCAAACCCTGGGGGGTTTGGTGAGCTCCAAAAGTATAGTAAGGGGGAGGACTCCAGTGGAGCCAGTTTGGCCAGAAAAGGCCAATTTGGCCTAGGAAGGCTATACTTAGGTGTTGGGTGATGGGATAACCACTGGGAGGTCTAAGGCTAGAGTGAATACAGACTATCAAGTAGGGTAGCTTGGTGAAATGTTCAAGAGTCGGCTCTAGTTCCCCTGGGAGATCAAATGGTCGATGCTCTTAGTCCAAGTGTGGGTGGCACTACCTACTTGGATACCTAGTGTGGCTCAACAGAACCTCACTCTAAGCCCATGGCTAAAGCACCCAAAGGCGGAAAGTGAGGAGAGTACCCACGAGGCTCGTATAAGGCGACGGTGTTCCGAAATGTTGTCCCAAAGTCCTAGACTATAGAATGGAAGCGGAGCAGTTCTCTAGTATGGTGACCAAGGATACGGTCATGTGGTAAGAAAGTCCCAGAGGACAGTGGGACTTAGTTGTCGGGCTTGCAAACCTTGTCCCAGTGGCAGAGTAGGCAAACTCGGCCATGGGCAGAAAAGAGACTTGGTGGGGACTGTAAAAGGGATATTGGGGAAGGCGGTTCCTCTTGTCTGCAGGCATCTTAAGGATGCTAAGGAGTGGATCTTGGATGGTCACTCCTGGATAGATGGCCCAGTTGTGGAGAGATGGGACTGCGATACAAGTAGTGCTGGACCACTGGTGGTACCAAGGTGAATGGGCATGACCTTAGTGTAACGGGCTGGTATGTCAATGGTACCTTGGGGTGTCAGTCTTAGGATCGGACACATGGAGCACTTGGGCCAAGTGCAAAGGTTGAGTGGAGGAGATGCCATTCTCGGGGCTAGCATGCCTGAGTCCGGAATAGGACTTATGGAGGTTATGACTGAGACTCCTCCAAGTGGTCGGAGGTGTGGTTAAGTGACTAAAGTAGAATGGAAAAATTAGTCAATTACAATTTGGTATCGGAGTTGTTCTTTAGTCTAACTTTTATTGGTGCTTAAGTATATCACCATTAGTGTTGGCATCAAAAAGTCCTAAGAGTGGGCCTATCCGTGAGGAGTAGCAAGTCGGGAAGACATGGCTCTCCACTATAGTTCATGTGTGAACTTGTAGGTGAGATGGTGGATAGAAAAAGGCCAATAATGGACGACCTCGAGATCTTGGGAATAGTATAAGGTTTTCCTCAAAGAGTTGAGGATGTGATCCAGATGAACATTTGACTCAGCAAACTAGCTAATGTAGTTATGGTAAGCAACTATAGTTGAGATCACGGGAAAAATAAAAACTCCAAAACAATAAAGTAGTCACAAGATTATCCTCATATAATTGAGGTTGGTGCTCATGAATTTGAGACCAGAATTAATGACTGTGCAATGGATCCATTTTACCTCATGTACCAAAAAAAGCATTCCACCTAAGAGTGACATTGATTTTGCATTTCAAACTAAACTATGTGAGCTTCGATGGAGTATGCAGAAAAGTTGGACAGTGCTGGAGAGGGAATTGATTCTTCCTCAAGATCATTATGCCATCCCTGGTTGATCAGTTTCTCCTTTGCTGACCATTCTTTGGGGGAGTCTGCTGGAGTAGCTTCTGATGAAGATGGAGATAAGGGATGCTCAAGATCATCAGTGCCACGGCTGCCAATCACATTTGTTGTTAGTTTTAAACTCTAGAGATGGAACATACTAAAAGATAATGACATTCTCTGTGTTTATGAGCACAAATAGGTATGCTTTAGTAAAGGTTTCTCACAAAGCTCACTAGTTTCCTTTTTCCTATTGTTTGTCACACATGGAGTCAAGCCAATGGCCCAGTGCCAATATCTTGGTTCACTCCTCAAGCAGGCCATGATGACAGCAAAGCACATTATTCGCATAGCCAACTCTATCCATTTAAATGTAGAAATGCTCTAATGTTTATTTGGACAGGCACCCTTATCCTTGGATGAGTGCATTGCAAGTTCATGGCTTTGGAGACTATATCAAGATCTTTTGACAATCTTGTAGCCTTTCAAGGTGCGGATCACACAATGCAATGTGATTCTAATGCTCTTTTGCTTGCATTTTCTCTTTTCTTTCAGAAGAATCTCTATTGTTTCTATGATTAATCATAAAGAACTTAGTAGAATAAGAGGTTAAGATCTATATTTTCAATAACATTGAGACTTCTTGCTTATGTTGGTAGCCATGAGTGTTTTCTTGAATGCACAGTAATCACATGTCTTAAAAACTTTATATATATATATATAGGATTTTATAAGCAATCACAATTGTTATACTTCTATGAATATATCAATCAGAAACATAAGAATATAATGTTATTAAACATTCATTTTTTACTTTGATTTTAAATCCTTTGATTGGGATACCTGTCTCCAACTATAAATGGTATAGCTTTTTTTAAAGAAATCTTAATATTGCAACTGAAAAACTATTAACCACAGTGAAATAATAAAATATACAAATAATAATTTTAGAAATCAATAAGTATATTTTTAAAAGTATTTTAAATTTTATCAATACATATAGATAATGATTCAATAACTGAGACTAATAATGTTAGATGGATTTATCTAGTTTCTAGTTTAATACATTTAAATTTTCTATATTATTATAAGAAAGTTTTGTTAAATTTGATAACATTCTTTGATACCATCACACTATGCTATAAGGGATACATGTTTGGCATCATCATATTAGAAAAATCCCCTCCTAAGACGTCCCTCAGGCTCTGGCCTTTTCTCCTGAGCATTTGCAATGAGCTGCAAGCAATTAACATTTCTAAATATATAGTGAGTAGTATATAGTTTTATATATACAACATGACAAGGGGATCACGAGCCGAATATTCTTTGCGCACCAAGTCCCGTTACGCGTTCGATTCCTGCGGGTGTCCCTTTCTGGGGTTTAATTTCTCTCTCTTGTTCTTGTTCGGGGTGGATGAGGATCGCTGGAGGCGAGAATGTGAAGCTCTTCGATGTCGCCAGGGTTGCGCTGGTGGAATCACGCGAGTAAGATCTGCCTGCATTGCGCGACGATATGTCGTTGTTTTCCTTTCCTTCCAGAGATCGTCAAGCTTCTAGGATCTGTGCGGCAGGCATCCTCGAGACGTTTCGTTTAGCTCAAAGTCGTGGAGAGATCGTCGTTGGAATCTGGGGCATGCAAAGCTCCAGGGATGATCACGCAAAGACGAGCACCTCCTTCGATCAGGTAAAGCTTTCCTCCCTTTGTTCCTGGTCACGTAGTGAGCTTTTGCCATGCTTCCTCATAGAGTTTTTGTTCGGCCGAGCAGAAAGCTTGACGATGGATCGGTGCATCTAGTACTGGAGGCAGTCCAAAGGTATGTTTGGGTCGCTCGCTTTCTTCATTGACACGCGGCCGAGGAAGGCAGGTGGTCTTTCCAGGAAAAAATAGAGCTGGAAAGCGAGCTCGAGCAACCTCTCGAGGGCGAGAGGTAAGTATGAGGTCGCTACAACTTGAGGCCCTGCCACGACTCGAGGGCCACAAAGAACCTCTGCCAACCGAAGTAGACCCCCTCTATGATGAGAGCAGTCAGGTCCCTGGGCTCGTGGTCATCCTCGCGAGCACTCTCGAAGCACTTGAGGTAGACATCCCGGTCTACAAACTCGTGCTGGCGGCCAGCGCCAGCAGCGAACAAGACATTGGGGAACACAGCCACGCTGCGAAGCAAGTAGGCCAGCATCATCCTCCCGCATCGCCCATTCCCATCCACAAACGGATGGATGCACTCAAACTTGTAGAAGAAGTCCGAGGCCAGCACCAGGAGCTGCTCCACCGTCTTGCAGCTCCTTGTCGTCGCCTCCTCCTCAAAGAGCCGCTCCACATCCGCGTTAGTCTTGCTCACCAACTTGGACAACTTGGGCCGGATTGCCCAGGCATCCGCGTAGAAGTGCTGCCTTCCGCTGCTCGTGATCGTCATTGCAACCTCGCTGCCGGAACGAAACAAGCCTGCGATCTCCGGCCTGCTCGGCTCCATAAGAAGCTCGTGTGACTGCCTGAGCTTGTAGTTGTTGACGCTGGGAGCCTCCTCGGCCTTCTCCTCCTGGAGCCACCATGCGTTGAATGCTCGGGACAGGCAGCGGACTTGTTCCAATCTCTCGTCTGGAGCCACCACTTCGTGGAGCTGCTCCAGGGCGTGGAGTGTTTGGTCCCGGGTATCAAAGCCTTCCAGCTCCAGCTTGTTCACCTGGAAGAGGAAGTCGGCCATAGCGTCGCGCTGCCCGTACACGTCCAGCGCCCATGCTTTGGCATCGCCGTCCAGGGCCTGGAACCTCTTCACGTACCCACAAATGGCGTCCACCATGCTGCTCGTCGCCGGGGCTCCGTCGCCATCGCACCTCCAGAAGGGCCTCTCCGCGTATCGCCCCATCTATATGCCCTAGCCTCAACCCAGAAGGGCCCCCTTTTATACAGCCAAGGTTTGAAAAGGGGTACATTTGAATTTCCCGGGCTTTGACACGCGGCACGCGATAATTGGCTGTCGGCGCAAGCTCATTCTTCAGGGCTTGGCGAGGCGACGGCGTGAGCGCGATGGCGATGGCGATGGCGATGGCGCTGGCGGGGTGAACGATTGATCCAGCGCCAGCGCAGGGTAGGCGCTTCGGTCGATCACAACGAAATTTCATAGTTTCTTGCTCTAGATCGCTCCCTGTTAGCTGGATCGGGCCGGCTCAGCGTCAGCGATCGATTTCTCCTCTCGCCCCGGGTGTGTAGCGCTCAGCTACCTTTTCTTGCTGCAGAGCTAGGATCCAAGAGCAACTCGCGGCCTGTGTAGGTATGGAGATCGATATTGCCATATTTCCAACGATTCCATGAAATGCACCTTCCTAGGGTCACAGGACTTGTGAATTTCTCTCGGCTGGTATCATGGATGGGCGGCGCGCGGCTCTGAATCTCGTCCGAAGTGCTGGTATGCATTTCGATCTCTCAACCTCGTATAGTGTTTGCTTATATTGCAGTGAGGAAACCAAGGGGAAAAGCTGGCAAGGAGAAGGAGCCAGAACCACTGCTTACACCGTCCAACCACGCAGGCTTCTGGTATGTCTTATGTCGCAGCTCTCTCCACGTACTTATCCAATCTACTCCAGGTTTGAGGCCTTCTGGGACACCCAAGCTATCAAAGTTGCTACGTCCCATGGCTTGGACGATCCTGCTCGATCCGCAGGGCTCTTGAGAGGTCTTGCCGTCATCAGGTCCTGGCCGGAGAGCTCACCCATCACGACCCTGCAGCTGTTACAACTGCACGAAGCTTTACAGCTGACACCGGTCTCGGCATTCCGCAGTTATGGTGCCATGTCCTCTGCTGGAAAGAGTTACGCACATCCCCGAGACATCCAGGTCAAGATGCGGAAGTTCCTGGACCGTCTCAATGCAAGCATCGCGGAGCACAGCAAGAGCAAGCTGAGCATCGCCAAATGGGTTTGGATCTGCGCCACGCCCCCAGACAATGGAATGAAG